AAAAGGAGCTGGGAATCCTAAGCTCGTACAGCCTGCAGATCGGAATGGTGACCTGTTATTGCTGGAATAATGCAACTGGCTGGGCTTCTACGTACGATGATTATACTCAAGGGAAAGATGCACCAGTCCTGTTGGTATGAGACAGAAGGGCTGCCAAGTGACTGGGTGATTGGAGTCAGTGAGAATGGCTGGACCACTGACCAGCTGGGTGTGTACTGGCTGAAAGAGGTGTTCAACAAGGAGACCCTACCCCCGTACGAAGGGCAGATATCGACTATTGATTCTAGACTGGCACCGAAGTCATGCCTCAGCTGGATTTGATCAATTCTGCTCTGAGAATCAGATTATTGCTCTCTATATGCCACCTCATTCCTCCCATCTTCTTCAGCCATTGGATGTTGGCTGCTTCTCCTCACTGAAAACAGCGTACGGACAACAGGTAGAGAACCAAATGCGGCTTGGGATCAACCATATTGATAAGGAGGAGTTTCTGGCCCTATATCCTGCAGCTCAGATACAGGCCCTGACTGAGAGCAACATTAAGAGTGGTTTTAGAGCAGCTGGGCTGGTTCCGTACGATCCTGAGCAGGTTCTCTCACGACTTAATACAACAATGCATACCCCCACCCCACCTGGGACCTCTCATAGCTCTCAGGCCTCCTGGGCCACTGCTACACCACATAATATACACCAGCTAGAGCAGCAGACTAAGAAAGTTAAAGGATATATTAAGCGCCGTACGCAGAGCCCACCCAGCCCAACTGATCGTGCCCTAAATCAGCTGGTCAAGGGATGTCAAATGGCAATGTATAGTGCTGCTATTCTAGCAGCTGAAAATAGGGAGTTAAGGGCTACAAATGCTAAACAAAAGAGAAAGCGAGAAAGAGGCCGTACGTATGTAGCTCAAGAGGGTGCTTTAAGGGTTGAAGAAGGCTTGGATCGCGTACGAAGGGTCAATGAATTGGAAGGAGGGGTGGTTGAGGCTGCTGGCTCTCAACCACGAAAACGTGCAGCACCACGGTGTAGTGTATGTGGGACTATTGGACATACTGCTCGTACATGCTCTAAGCATATAGAAATTATCTCATAATATACAGTAATTAATTGTATTCTCTTTGTTCTTGAGCTCTTTTATGCTCTTAACTCTGATTGCATGGTAGGAAGTGTTTCGCTTGCTTAACTATGTGTTTCGCTCGCTTATGGATTACGTTATATGCGAGGTAGTTTCTAGTCGGGTCGATCTTCAAGTCAGTATGGACGATAGGTCTATAACACCTCCAGCTCTGTGGATCTTCTTCCCTGTTGATAAAGCTTGAAGCGAAGCAAAAATCTGCCGGGATAATGTTTTTTTGATGCCGCTGCCCGGTTGATTGCTTAGTGTTGGTTTAAAAACAAGACGGTGAGGTGAAGCTTACTAGTAGTTATC